GTGGAAAGCCTCCAAGCACTCGTCTGCTGTGATTGGTGGTCGTCGATTTTAAAAAAGTAACGGAAAAGTAACGAAAAGGTACTTTTCAAGTAACGGTAACTGTAACGTTATTTTAAAAATCGGTAACTAGTAACTGTAACTAGTTACTTTTTCTACTCGGTAACGAGTAACTGTAACTTGTTACTTTTAAATAGTAACTTTCCATTCCCTGTAAAATACTTATAAAATGTCTTGTAAATTATTTTCGTTTTCTGGTGACTGTATTTTAACATTTTTATGCACACAACACACACACACACACACACACACACACACACACGCACGCACGCACGCACGCACGCACGCACACAGAATAATAAGATGAATCAATAAAATAACAAATAGCTTTTTTTTTAAATATATAGTTGCATGTCGTAAAACTATGTCCTTGTTTATATCAATTAACCCTCGAATAGCGGACGTCGTGATACTCGCACTCACAGCGGACGCAGAGTCAAAAGTGACCCAAGAAAGAAATTGTTTTAAAACGTTTGAAAAGCAGTATTTTTATTATAATATGTATAAAATTTGTAGAAGGAAAAATAAAAACACATTTATCATAGAAAATGAATAAATAGAAATAAATGTCCATTTATTCAGTTTCTAAATTTTCTTCACAGTTGAAAAAAGTAAGCAATTTTAACTCGCGGATCTCGCGAGACTGCGTCTGCTGGCGGAAGGTTAATCATAAAAAAAGTCATATTCTCTATATTTACTATTCTTTCAACGTACAAATATATGACGCTTCGCTTGTCTTAGCGCCGAGACACTACCGTACCTCCAGATAATTTATTTCATTTTGAAGACATGTCAAAGATACAAAGCTTATAAAACACTTATGACTATTTCCGTAATCAATAAATAATAAATAATAATTTTCATAATTTTTCCTGGACCTAGACCAATAATTGTTATCTTCTAGATATCACAAACAATTTCCAATGATTAATTTATTTGGAATTATGCAAAAATTTTTGCAATTATGCCAAAAGTGATATATTTTTAACATTTTTTTTAATTTCATAGCATTCTTTTTTCTTATAAATAATATTTCATTAATAATTAATAATTAAAATTAACATTTTTATATTGTTGTATTACAATCTTCTAATTCTTTAAATTTTTATAATTCCGATCATCTTTTAATTGTTTTTACTATATACGTGCATAATTAAAAAAGATAAATTGTATTAACTTACCATATGAAACTCTTGAAGCACATCTGTGTAGATAGTTAAGACATATAACTTCATTTCTACTTTGTGCAATTTTTTCCAAATCTTCAGTAAGTATTAAAGATTCTTGAACGAATGTATTAAAAAATTCCTTCAACATGATCGTATTAAAAGCTGGAGCCATCATTTTTCGATTTTCAGTCCATGCAGATGCTAAATTAAATATTACAATAAAATAATAAAAGGGAAAATAATAAAATTATAATAATAAAAAGAATATTAAAAAATAAGTTGCTTCTTAACAGTTTCGTGGCCCAGCTTTCAAAGTGTAAACAAAAATATTTTATATATGGAGAGAAAAACTTATTAGGACTTATTAGAAATAAAATACAAAATAAAAGTAAATGCAGCCATAATATCGTTCATGTTACATTTTCTATTTGATATTGTTTAAATATATCTTACCAGGAGCTGTCACTAATCCCATGCCGAATATTGGTCTCAGAAATTCATACACTATACTTTTATTCAAACAATGGCGGTTTTGTAAGACAGCCTACAACATCACATATAATATACATATTTATTAATATTTACGCATGTTTGCTTCAAATAAGTAATTAACATATACACGGTGGGCCATTTTACGGGACCCACCCAAATTTCTCCGTCGATAAGGCAAATACTTATTTGACAAGGTCAAAATCATTAATACAGATAAATGACCCCCATTGTCCTGAACAAGCTTTGTCTGAACTATTTTTCTGTATCTGCCTTAAGCTGGCCGCACACGATGCATGATTTTCATGCTTACTCTCTTGCATGCTGATCAATGCATGTTACTTTGCTCGGCTCGCTGCATAAACGTCATCACACGAAGGTGGCAACCGTGGTGGTTCAGTTGTAATGATGCACAGAAATCGAAACACTAGAGGCGAGAAGGTTAAGTATAAATGAAAACTATTATTTAGTACTTTTAATATTCAAAATAAGTAATAAATCATTATCATTATTATTATCATTATCATTATCATTATCATAATCATTATCATTATCATTATTTCTATATGCTTCTATTAGTACTAGGATTTGCTCTTTATTCCAAGACATCGTTTTCACAGTAATAATACAGACTGTCAAAGAAGACAATAACCAACTATAACCTATACATCTCTTGCGCATGACTGATGCCAATCAATCACGTGAGTGATTCTTAACGTTTTGATTGGCGCGTGCAAGAAAACGAGCATGAAATAATGCACCATATCAAACATAAAAATCAAGGATGGTAGCATACTTCGCTCAATGCATCAAGGTGTTTAGCACGCATCAGAGGAGGCACAGCAGCATGTAAGCCCATTATGCAGGAAATCGTGCATCGTGTGCGGCCAGCTTTACCGACGGAGAAATTTGGGTGAGTCCCGTAAAATGGCCCACCGTGTACATGGCGAAAAAGTTCACGTGAACAAATTTCACATTTTCACGGGTTGGAAGAGTTGTAGAGGAAGGTCCGACATATCACTTTGTTTTTAGACAATATTTCTTAAACAAAAGGTAAAAATATAACTTTAAAAACATAAATACAAACTAAAAAATGTTTTCTATCAGAGTACAAGCAGTTTTTATGATATTGTTTGCAATTTTGCAATAATTAAGTTTTTCGTAAGTTATGCAAAAATGACAAAATGGGCTCCAAACTGACATATGTAGTAAGCAATATAATGCCAACATTCCTATTCTATAAATAAAGATATATTCTATTCTGTAAAGAAAACTAATTTATGAAACTATAAATATTTATAATGACATAATATTATATCAATAATATAGTCACTATTATTTTAATTACGCAATTTGCAAAAAAACACCGTAAGAATTTCCTTCTCGGATTCATAGAATTTGTTTTTAGCTGATTTGATATAGAAATAAGCCACAAATATATGAATTATGAGTTTGTACTTCTTTAATTAGCTAAACAGATCATATTTTTATTAGTATTAATAAGGGGCAAAGGTTAGTTTCTAAGAAATAAGGGGATATCGCTTTAGGAGACCTATGTCAGTATCGGTGACCTTCCTCTACATAATCTTGCATGGGAAATCGTAAATAATCGTAGAGTTCACGTGAAACTTTTCACTTGTACATACAAAGTGTCTGATAATTAACAATAAAACTGTCGCATAGCGGCAGAATGGATTAAACTGAGTCGAAAAGTCCTCTACCATTTTGCAATTTTTGCAATGGTTAACGAGATATTAATTTACGAAAATAGCCAAATTGGCTCGGATTACCGTCAAATGCAAGCGGGCGGCAAGACCGTCCAGTGAGGTGCGCGTTCGCTGTTGCTAAGCAGGTTAATGCCAATGTCGCTTGTGAATAACGTCTAGCGATAAAGAACGTGCATTTTTTTGGGCGGTCTTATTTCGTCGTGCGCTTACATTTGGTGGTAGGCAGGGCAAATTTGGCTATATCTTCATAAATTAATATCTCATTAACCATTGTGAAAATTGGTAAAATGGTAAAGGACTTTTCAACTCAAATCTATTCTGCCGTTATGTGAGAGTTTTATCATTAATTATCAGACACCCTGTGTGTGGGGGGGGGGGGGGAGTGGGGGGGGGGGTGTACACGCACGCAAGTACGCATACACATATAGAGTTTACAAATATAGAGTTTACAAAAAGGATGCTGGAGCCGCCTGTTACCGATAAAACTAGCGTTTTTGACGTTTTTGGTCCTGCCGAATTTCTTCGTAGTGGTTCCATAGAATAAAAATTCCTTTTCCCCCCCACGATTAAAATGTACATGCTAATGTATTTGTCGCTAGTGTATTTTGTGTTCAAAGCTGAAAAATATAATAAATTAGATTTCTTTATCCATTTTACTTTCAGCGTTGATCGCCATACTTTGAGATAAAAATGGATAAAGAAATCTGTCATTTTTAATTTTTTTTCCAGTTTTGAACACAAAATACACCAGCAAGTACATTAGCATGTACATTTTAATCGTGGAAAAGGAATTTTTATTCTGTGAAAACACTACAAAGAAATTCGATAGGAACAAAAACATCAAAAACGCTAGTTTTATCGGTAATACAGACGGCTCCAGCATCCTCTTAAATATCTTAAAAAGTAAGCATTTTTGAGAAAAATGTTTTATATAAAAGTTGTAAATATATAAAAGTTTAAAATGATCTATGTAATGATTTCATCAGTTTGACTTTGAGTGATCAGGTTAAGATCAAATTGACTTTTTTAAAAATAAAACACCATATTTTTTATTTCAGCATCTATTAGCTGATATCAAGAACTTTTCGAAACATTATAAATAAAGCCTCTTTCTAATTAGTACTTTTCGAGAGTCATAAGATTTGAAAGTTATAATATTGTGTGTCGGCATTAGCATTACTTAAAAGTATATTGTGTGGAGGTTGCCCGGTCGGATTTATAAGTCATATGCACGCATGTCTCTCCTTCCACATCTCTGATTGTAAAGTGTTCACTTATACAATACTAATGCTAACTGAATGACAGAAGCGTATATCCCTTTTGAATGAATGTATATATAATGTATTATACAAGATGTCTCTCCATACAATATCAAAATTGCTACAGCGGCTTTAGCACGTACATATGTACATGAAAACTTCAGCACATGAAAAGTCAAAAATATCTAATAAACATATGTCTGAACGGTTTCAGAGTTACGAGGTATTGAAGTAACACAGAGAGAAAAGTACATCGTATTTGTGACTATAATTGCATGGTAAGATAATTATGGTTAGGAGCATCATTTTTATAGTTATTATTGCTATAATGTTAGTAACAATAACCATATATGTATAGTTCTATCAACCCGTACAAAAATTGTACTATAAATTGTGATAATTTCCAATATTAATTATAGTAAAATATGAAAATACATATGGTAAATAAAATAACCATTTTATGTGATAATTGCAATCATAATTATAATGAATATAACCATTTTTTCAACATTCGCTTACTATTTACATGTAGTAACAATATAACTAAAATATAGTTAAAAAAATATAAAAAATCAGCCATTTTCAAATAGTGTGCGTAACTATATTAATAGCATATTTGACTGTACTTTTTACTACAAATTTAATTGGTTAAAAATTTACTATACGTTTTATAAAAACTAAAAATAAAATAATTGTAAAAGTAATTATTTGCACTAAATGTTTGGCAATACTATAGCAATAGCATATTTGACCACATTTACATAAATTATAATTTAACATTTTCCTTAAAAAAAATCTACATGAATAACGCATAGTGCACAAGCGAATCAACTAATCAAAATCTTCCCTTTCCATGGAAAAGAAGAATTTTGATTGATTCCCTTAACGCATTCCACGGAAAAGAAGAATTTTGATTGATTCCCTTATACACTATGTATTATGAGTTATGCATGTCACGGACATGTCGCGGCCGGTCCCACGCATGCTGGCGTGCTTTTATGCGCAGCGTAGTAATACACGATATTCGCGAATCGCGAGCAAGAAGAAGCGTCGAGAAAACGGCACTTAGACCCGTATTCATAGTCGGGCCTTATATCGAGCAAGAAGAAACGTCGAGAAAACGGCACTTAGTATCGAAACGTTAAAGATCGTAACTGAGAATTATTTGTGAGACAGTAGTTTTGATTTGTTGTATATTTGTATTGTATTCGATCAAATAACGAAACGTTGAAGATCGTATAACTGAGAATCATTTGTGAGACAGTAGTTTTGATTTGTTGTATATTTGTATTGTATTCGATCAAATATAATTTTAATTTTTATCTGGCTGACTCGAGTTGTTTATACGACGACGTGTTATAGCCGTATTCGGTAATAATTAAGGCGTCGCCTTACAAGTTCTTGATTCGTGATCGTGACAAATGAAGCCATCTCGTGAAATCTCCGATTTCGAGATTTCTTACAATTGTTTGGAGACAGCTGCATGAGATTACCGACATCAAAAGTGATAAAACAACTCATAAGAAGAATTGTTCGTGCATAAGTGAGTAACTTTTATTATATAATATATAATTACATTGAAATATATCCCACAGCACACTTCATTTGAGAGACAATAGTTGCTTTCCATTTACACAAGTGAAACTGAGTCTGAAGTGAGCTGAGTATTTCATACTCAGATTAATGATGTCATTATTTTCTTACTTTGGTTATCATATGACAATACAGGTTCATAACTTCACTTTTAAAATGAGTTTACGAGACTCGCTAAACCACACGGTCTCGATCTTGTGCAGATTATAAGCAAAAACTCAGTTAAATCTCATTTATCAGAATGCAAAAGGAACGCGCATTCAACTGAGTTATGACGTCACAAGTGAGAATTATCTGAGAATCAGTGTAAACGGAAAGCAACTATCGTATAGATGTTATCGATGGTTGTTTTCAAACAAGAGACACATGTGACACAGTGTGACACGTTGCATAATTACATCCTTATTATGCCAATGTTGAACAAGGATGAGATGATTACTGTGTTGTACTGAGTCGCTTGTTAGAAGGCACCCAATGTCTTATAAATAATGAGATGTCTATTCAATGTCCCTCGAATAAGATGTGCTGAGTGGGATTTATTTAATATACACAAAAAAAATATTTGGTTGAATTAACTGGAATTCTGGTAGAAGATAAACGATCCAGAATTTTGGTTAAGTCTATTAGATTTCTGGTTAAATCTACCAGAATTCAACCAAATAATTTTCTCCGTGTACGTATAATCTGAACGAGGTTGCGTTCACATTCCCACCCGAATGTTCGCCAGGTGTTATTCGATCCTTGTTTCATCATTCGATGAACAAGGATAAAATGATATTTAGGTAGCACTCGAGTGAGAATCTGAACGCAGCATGTTTCCGAGTGAGTTTACAATATTCATAACAAAATAATATGTGCTCATCAGATAACATAATTTTAACTTGCATTAAATCGTATTTCTTGCTTTAAAAATTATAAAACCTTATGAACAGATTTTTTCGAAAAATTCAATATTTTTTAACAATATAGTATATCTACGTACAAGTTTAATTTTTTAAATATAAATTATAGAATATCTTAATACATATTATTCTATTGAGATTTATATTTATATTTTATTTTTTGAAGTTTACGTCTCAATTTTCTTCTATATTTATTATATTTTCGTAGATTGAATATCTCAGTTCAATAATTGTAAGAATATGTCCAGTTTTGTTGAAGAAACATTGGAAGCATGGAATCTTTCCGAATATATTGAGAAATTTAAAGGTTAATATATTATTGCTTTCCTTACTTTAATACATACAAGATTTTTCTTATAATTGTGTTTTGGTTTTATTTATTTATTGTAGATGAAAAAATTGATGAACAGGTATT